CAGGCGCTAGCTGACAATCTACAGCGGTGTAACAATGCTAAAAACCACACTCCCTACATCTTCTCATCCCTCTGTAGTGCAAGCTGGCACAGCCTACATGAGAGTGCCAACTCTGGTCTGAATTCAGGAGCAGTGCAGCATTGTTACCTCTCCATCATTAGAAGCTGCATTAGGTGGACTTCCCTGGCAGCATCTATAGGTATTTGAGGACCTTTGCAGAAGTATTAAAACTAGGGAAAGATTCAGCTGATCAGCATTGATGGCTCAATACAAGGACACAGGAAAAAAGTGTTCATGTCCCTTGTTCACAACGTACATGTAGGTTGCACAAAAATGCATGTGGCAACACACAGTTGAAGTGTCATTTTGTGACATTTCAATAAAGTAAAACAACATGGTGATGTATTGTAACAATATATTGCACCACTCCCACAAAATGCACATGACACAAACAAAGCATGCATATTTCAACTTTTGACTTCGCACATAGTTGAGTCGCTTAGCCTCGTTTCCACGTCGGAGGTATTTTTTGGCCGCACACAGTTTGATCGCCAAAGGGCTGGAGAGCAGTACAATAATGAGTGTCTGCAGCAACAGTGACGCATGGTGGAGGTTCCTTGTATGTCTGGGGCTGCATTTCTGCCAATGGAGTTGGAGATTTTGTCAGGATCAATGGTGTCCTCAATGCTGAGAAATACAAGGAGATACTTATCCATCATGCCATACCATCACGGAGGTGTGTGATTGGCCCCAAATGTATTCTGCAGCAGGACAATGACCCCAAACTTCAGCTAATGTCATTAAGAACTATCTTCAGTGTAAAGAAGGACAGGGAGTCCAGGAAGTGATAGTTTGGCCCAACAGAGCCATGATCTCAGCATCCTCGAGTCTGTCTGGGATGACATGAAGAGACAGAAGGATTGGAGGCAGCGACATCCACAGAAGATCTGTGCTTAGTTCTCCAAGATGTTTGGAACAACCTACCTGCCGAGTTCCTTCAAAAACTGTGTGACAGTGTACCTAGAAGGCAAATGGGGGTCACACCAAATATTGATTGGATTTGGAATTCTCTTCTGTTCATTTACTTTCCATTTTAGTAATTGATAAAAAAAAAACTATTAACACTTTTATTTCTGAAAACATTTTTACTTTACAGCATTTTTTTCACACCTGCCTAAAACGTTTGCACAGTGTATATCTATCTATCTATCTCCCATACTATGGAACTAAATGAGACAATAATGGCTTGATTTTCAGTCTGCGCGGGTGTTGTGTCTTCCAGACAGCTACTTCTGAAAGATAAAATACTATTGTCATTCCTGGCGGGCAGCCATTGTCATCTGTGCATTGTGAATGGAAGGCGTTCCAGTGACAATGACTGAATGCAGCGTATATCTCTGCTTTACATTACCTTTTGTCATGGGAAAAATAAAATCAGAATTCATCCTGTTCTACTTCCCTGGTTATTACCGGTTCATATCTTATATTAAAGTCAGAGACAACCAGGCAAATAGCATGTACAGCAGGAAGAGGATGATGGCAGTTTAATTTCTATTATGACTGGTGTCATTACCTCTTTGGGGCTGCCCTAGGCAAGACAAAACTCTGGCACCCCCCAATCTAAATTTTCCCAACCTCAGTCGTAATCAGTCGCTGGACACAGTGCACACGCTGTATCCAGCTTTTAACGTGTTGCTGGGGCGTGTAGCAGGGAAGCCAGGGCCTCAGGTGAGCTTTGCAGGGTCTAAGGTGGGCTGTGATGCTGGGCTGTGTTTTCTTAAAATAAAATGTTCTTTAGTGGTGACTGAATAGATAAAGACAATGCTACTACATACAAATTACAAGTAATCTCCTCTTTTATTACACACAGTGATACCTTGGTTTACGAGCATAATTCGTTCCGGAAGCATGCTTGTAATCCAAAGCGCTTGTATATCAAAGCGAATTTCCCCATAGGAAATAATGGAAATTCAAATGATTCGTTCCACAACCCAAAAATATTCATATAAAAATGATTACAATACTGTACTGTAATATAATACTGTACAAAATATAAAGAAAAATAAACCAATTACCGGTACCTTCGTGGCTGGTGTGAGGGGGACAAGAGAGAGGAGGATTATTGTGTAGGACGACTTTCACTATCACTAACAGAATCACTGCTATCTCTTGACTCAATGGAATCTTTTTCATTTTGTGAAACCTTAACAAGGAATCTATCCAATGTGACACTGCTACAGCCTTATTCGGTGGTGCTTTTCTACAAAATGTTGCTCTTATTGCAAGACATCGCTTATATATCAAGGCAAAATTTTTCAGAAATGTTTGCTTGTCTTGCAAAACACTCTCAAACCAAGTTACTTGTAAACCAAGGTATTACTGTATTATTAAGAGAGGAACTGATTATATTTGATATAAAGGGCAGCACAATTATGAATTCCATGTACGATTATGTTTTTAAAGCTGAAATTCTATTACAAACCCTAATATACAAACCTTGATATAAACTGTACCAAACCTTTTTTCTTTCCTTCTGTCTTAATCTTTGTTAAGAAGATTTCCCTAGAATATGTCAGATGTGTAATAATATGTTATATCGCGGATCCGGTGAATGCTGTGTTCTCACCGTATCCACTGTCATCGCTGTTTTATGACATTGATTCAGTAAATAAAGAATAAAAAAAAAAAAAAGAAGTTTTCCCTGACTTCTGCTCCTAAAGGCAAGGTTACGGAAAAACAGGAAATCTCCTCCTAGTGGTATTACAGCTATATGTGGAGATTGGAGAACTAAGTCACCTGCTGGCTTTGCAAATCTTACATTCATTTGTTAAAACAAACATTTTTATTTTACTTACAAAGTTTTCGTTTCCTGCTCCATTTGGGCACAAATTATGTAATGGTGGCCAAGCATTGCATCTTGGCAAGGTTACATCAGCAGTGCATTGCTTGGAAATCTCCGGAAAATGCTTTTTCCTCCCCTGCGCTGATGTGTATGGTCACATGTGCCAGAGTTCCAGGAAGTAAAGGGAGATGGATTAATCTGCCCTTAATAAAAATGGCCACTGTGAGAAGACTGGGGAGGAAAAGAGAAATAATGTATGCAAAGAATAAAAAGCCATCAATGATCTAGAAGTAGGTGTTTGTAGATTGTCATTACTAAACATTTCTAAAAAGGTGTGTTTGTTGTTACTTTGAAGATAAGGTTAAAGTTCCTCTTTAAGCAATTGCATTAATCATTTTCTTTTTTCCCCCCCCTTAAATAAGTTTAAAAATGAACATACAGCTTGCAGAATAGAATATTTTTCTGCAATTTAAATATACTTTGCACGTCCTCTATTACCTAGAATTATAAAGTGTTTGTGAATAAAGCAGAAAGCCAAACTTCAGTTGACACAAGTCTATTTAAAACATTCTTTCCGAAACATGCGTCATAAAGGCTTCATGTACAATACTTTGTCATTTACATATATGCTTCCCTGACAAATGAATAAAATATTCATATACAATATACATGTAATACCATAAACAATAAAACAAGTCCCCACATACACATCAATAGTACTGAAATATTGTATACAGTTCATAGATAACCTCACAAAGTGGCTTGTATAGAAAAAGTCATTAGTATACAGCGGCAGTAGAAATGGCACAGCAAGGTGCAATGTATGTATACATATATATAGTAAGAAGGATTAAAGCCACATTTGGGCTTATTCAATATACTGTGCCAGGAGCAAAGTGCCAAGTGCAGGGATCCATTGATCCAACCAATCTGAATTCAGGCCAGTGAATGATGCGTTCTGATTGGTTGGGAACTGCACTTTGCCAATGGCACCTTTTACTGAATAAGCCTGACAGAGCTAACCTAACAAGACATTAGTTTTTGGAGGCAATTATGAATGGAAATTCAGTAAACAAAAAGTGTACTAACCTATAAACTCCTCTTTTACCAACCTGATCTAAAGAAGAAACTGTCACTTTGCCCATTCAAGGAAAAGTCTCTAAGTTCTAACTATAAAGGCAAAAGACAGGAATTTTTCCGCATTCGTTTCCATTCACCCTGAGTACTGTAAGGCTGTGTATACCAAATGACTCTCATTGTCTGTGTTACAGGCCAGGTCATATAATGTAAGCACAATAGGAATGGTGGTAGGACTCTGGTTACGTATCTTCTAGTTATCAATGAAACCAAAGAGCTTTCGTTCTTCATGCAACTGGTCACTGAACAAAGATGACACACTGCTTGTGTACGGTTAAGAGCAATCGTGTGCACGTAGAATAAAGGCCTATGTTTGCTTTAAGAGGTTTTGAATACTCATATAAAGTCTATGGGAATACAAAACCTGCTTGAAGAAGGTCATATGAATTCTGAATGATCTCAGAGGAATCTCAAACTGATGCCGTCAACACAAGCCCAAAGTCCCTTGACATAGGTTCTAAGGCTATGTGCACGGCTGTCAGCTCTACGGTCATGTTCTTGATGCTATGAATGGGGCATAAAGAAAGAATAGGTGCTTTCTATAGAAATAGAAATCTCCTGTCCACATGACCTCCTAGCCTCAGGGAAAACATGGTACACCATCAATGACATCAGCACAAAACACGATGGGTCGAAATTGATAAAACAAAAGTGAAAAACTGATGGCTGTGTAAGCATAACATAAACTGTACTGGTCCTTTGACGTTTTACTTTGCTTCAGAAGAATGTGAACCACAATTCCCCAACTACAAGCAACAGACCATAAAATGAAGGTCTCCAGATGGTTAATTCAAGTTGGTTGGGTCAGGTGAGAAGATCAGTAATCATACCCAAGACACACCATTTGTTTGGCCCTATGTGTCCACGTCCTCCTTTCAAGTACTTGTCCAGGTAACGTGAGATATCCTGCAGATAGTTCCAGAGGTCAGATTGGAGTATTCGGACATCCGGCTAGAATCATCCACAAAATGAAGAAAGAAACCTCTCCATAGTGCACTCTCTATGTCATCGTGTCTTAGTCTCTGTAGCAGAGCAGAACATTCAAGCTATCATTGTTCATGTTTCTAGAGGAAAATCAATCTTTAATGGACTGGTGGTAGTTTGTAGATAGAAGGACCATGCTGTGCAACAATAAGGATGCCTCAGACACTGTAAAAAGGAAAAAATACATGTCAGTATATCTATATACTATCACCGGCATACAGGAAACATGACTATATTTAATATATGTTAATGTATAGCAAAACTAGGGCTGCAACAATTAAATCGACATAATCGATTATTGAAAAAGTTGTCAACTTTTTCAAGCATCGATTAATCGGCTTCCGATTCGTTGGCCCTGTTCACGGCTCCACACACACTGCGCGCCGCACCTCCTCCCCATCTCACGTTCGCCGCTGCCAGACCTGCCCGCATCCACGCCGCATCTCCTCCCCGCCTCACGTTCACCGACTGCCCACATCCACGATCGATGGTGACAAGCCACCGTGAAAAAATATTGTTAATCGGTGAGATGTGTTCATAAAAAATATCGTCAAGACGACGAAACGCGTAGGGGCAGGCCTACCTACACGTCGTACCGAATACAAGATTCCGTTTGCTGCTTTTTATTTGCCGAATGTTCGTTGGTTTTTCGTTTTTTACAAATTGATTATTGTGGGTGCGGCATAATTTAACATTTCATACCATTTGACTTGAAGGTCAGTTTTGCAGCCTTCAAATTATTCACTTTAGCACGTATTAATTACATTTTAGATTATTTGCACTTCACTGATCCAGCGCAGAATCACCAAAATAATATAATGTACTATTGCTGGGATTTGTTGTATTCCTCCATAACTGGTGGTATTCTGCATTGTGCTGTATAATGTATTATTGCTGGGACTTGTAGTCCTCTATAGCCGATGCCATTCTGCATTCATTGCTGTATAATTTTACACTTTTCATTCACTATATTGCACACCACACTTTGGTTTTCTTTTTTACTTCCACCGCTCCAAGCTTGCTCCTGTGATGGACTGCAATCTCAATAAAAACTAGTAGTCCATCACTGGAGCCATTTTTTACAATTTATTTTTTTATCCGATTAATCGATTTTAATAATCGGCTAACTAATCGATTTTGAAAATAATCGTTAGCTGCAGCTCTAAGCAAAACCAATCATTACTCATATGAACTTGAAGTTCTTCTAAGACACCATCTGCAAAAACAAAGCAGGTAAGGCACAAACCACTCAGCAGACAAGCAGCGTTTTGGACGTTTCTGGATGTATTTGTTTCTCGTATTCTTTGCCTACACAGCCTCTACCCAAATGTCACCATGTACTGAAATAGCGTATCTTTGTTATCAAGCCACAAATGATGTTTTTCCTCTTACTTGGCTGAACTGTGCCCAGACTGGATGCTTGCATTAACAAGTAAAACAGAAGGAAATGGCCTTGATTTTATATACTAACAAAGATACAAAAATCCCTGACCTTTGGATGCTGCATTTAAATCTTAGGATTTGTATTCACTGCACAGAATTGTCAACAGTGACAACAGCACAGCAGACTTCCTACAGATGAATTGAATTGATGAATTATTCACATTAGTTCCTAATCAGGAAAGAGATTCCTTACCAGTCATGCCCACAAGTATATGTAGTATGTGCAAATTTGAATGGAAGCCAATTCATTGAATATCAGACAGAGGAGACAGTGGTAAATCTGGTAGAATTCCAGATCTGAAAAACCAAGCATCCCAGACACTGCCCCCAATATGTGCAAGGGAAATGTACGGCAACGTTTTATAAGAGCAGGCACATATTTGCAGACTACATGGTGTTCAGATGGACTCCAATAAGTATACAAGAGTGTCCTTACCTTCTAATTTTCCAGACAGTTGGATCCAGCAGCTTAACCACCTTCTGCAAGCTTCTGCACCAAGATGAGCACCATTCAGCCCTCTGATGTAACACGCCTGGCAATTGCAGCAAGCAAAGTCACACAATTATCATTGCAGCAGAATAACCTGTAACACTTATTCCCAGTATACCACCAAACCACTTTATTAAAAGGAACATGTCTGGGAGCCGACATTTATTACTTGTTTTTCAAAGTACATGCTCAGGGACAGTGAACCTGAATTATTACGTACTGTCACATGTCATGTTATTATTGGGCCTGTGCCAAGCTGAATATCTGTGTGTTCATTACTGCAAGGTACCGCTCCTCGATACTCTATGGCAGGAGTAGGCAGCCTTGGCTCTCCAGCTGTGCTGAAACTACAAATCCCATAAGGCATTGCAGGCCACAAACATGACTCCCAGAGGCAGAAGCAAGATGGGATTTGTAGTTTCAGCACAGCTGGAGAGCCAAGGTTGCCTACTCCTGCCATAGAGTATCCAGGAGCGGTACCTTGCAGTATTGAACCTTTGCACCCGCTAATGGATTTGAGTGCTTTTTAAGCTGTGCAATACTGTCGCATACACTGTGCAAAATGCTCATGCCCAAACATCCGACGGTACCACAAAATGCCACTAGTGAAACGGCTAATGAACACACAGATATTCAGCTTGGCACAGGCCCAATAATAACATGACATGTGACAGTACGTAATAATGGGGCACCTTTGCAGTGGAATGCCGAATACTCGTTAAATGCTTATTAAAGTGACACACACACACATCTATCTCTATATGAACATTTACCTTACCAGCACTCTGGGAACTCTGAAACCCAGGTCAATCTAATATGCAAATAGTGAGCCCTCCCTTGGATCTGTCTCCTCACTTCTTCTAGTTCAACATTATGATGGGCAGTCTTACCGACCAATGGAGAGGCATGGGAGTGCCAACTTCAGGAATGGAGGCTGGTATTTGCATATTAGACCACACTGGTTTTGGAACTTCCAGTAAGTGAAAGCAAAGGTTCACTTCCAGCACTAATACACAAAAAGGATAAAGTGTTCACTGATACCATGTCAGCACATAAAAAAAAGCTCCAACAGCAATGCAAAAAGTCCTACTTTAAAATCAAACTCCCAATTTTGAAGAACTTGTATGAAATAAATAAAAATGATTATCTAACCCTTTTTACTTCCTCATCAGTCAGTTCATCGACCCTGAGTTGGAGCAGCGCAGCGTCCAGGTGGCGGATCTCTAAAATGTGCGATTTGAGCCGGCGCTGCAGGAAGAAGGCTGGGAGGTGCGGTGTCAGGAACAAAATGCGGCTTAAAGCTTTCTGCAAAAGACAAAAGGCTGTATCAGTATCCACATCATGTCATAGGACACTACTGTCTAAACCTGCCCCGGACTGACAAACAAGGCAGCCTTTATGGGTTTCTCAGGACCACAGGTGTAACACTGGCTGCTTTACAGATTCATCCAACTCTTTAGAAGTATGAAGAAAGATCCACAAGACAAGCGCTGCTAGTGAGACCCAAACCACAATCATTGAAGCAGAAGCTCATCCAAATGGGTACATTCCATTGTGTCTACAGGTAAGGACATAGAAGTGTTCTCCTCTGAAATGTCTGCAGCATTTAGCATGTGTACCATGGAATGAGAATGTGAATACAAGAATATTTCTACAGCATCTATGGGACATTTGTAAATATAAGCAGGATGATGCATGGCTGGAACAGCAGGCTGAACAGTATTGTGTAATTTTGAAGTTATAACTGCCCTTAAAGGAGAACTATGAGGTAAGCGTTTTCCACTCATCCTCATAGAGCCAACCTGTGACAATGAAACTGTCACAGGTCGGCTCTATTGATTGGGAGTTGAGAAGAAACATGCAGGCGATCCGCTCACTTGCCGATTGTACCCCTGCAGTGAGCTGTGACTGTCAGTCACGGCTCCCTGCAGGGATTCCCCCCTCCCCTCTCTAATCCTCCAGCGCTGACTGGAGGAACGAACAGAGGAGGGGGTGGGCACAGCTGGCTCTGCCTCTAGATAGGCAGAGCCAGCTGTTACTCACGCAGCTGGGTGGATCATGACAGTATTGTTGGGATCCGTCCCAGCTGTGGCGTCTCAGTATATCGCAGCCAATAGCCCGCGATATACTGAGCTTTGGGTCACAGGAGGACCCGTGACCCTATAGAGAACTATTGGGAAAACACTTACCCATAGTTCTCTTTTAACAATCAGTTTTATGTGACAAACTAAACTTGACTAGTTGCTGCAGGCGATGGTTTCACTTTGGCTATAGCTCTGTTTCCTGAGATTACTATAAATTAGCCCTAATATGCCTCAACATCTACAAACCAAAACAAATTCAAATTGATACTGAGATCCTGTGAACCAGTAAATAAATACCATTTGAATCCCATCGAGCTCTGTCATAGAGAGAGGAGGGCCTGAAAAAGCTGCTTTGATGGCTTCAATGTCCGTCAACTGGGGGTGAACTCCACGCTGCACCTGGAATAGAAAGGTTTGTGAAACAACTGGGCAGCACATTGTAAACTGCTTTATAAAAACGAAATACAACTAAAATGATTAGTGCTGTGGTCCTGCAGTACTGGGGGTGTTCAGTCCAATTCCCACCTGGGACGTAGTAATATTTGTGGGGAAACCATGTTTTCCTTCCACAACACATGCAAAACATACTGACAGGTTAGTCAGCTTTCAAACAATCTTGCTCTGGGGTATTTTTGGGTCTGTGTACCTGTGGAATGGACACTAAATGTTAAGCTCCTACTGGGAGAAACTAAGGGGAATCTCTTCAAAGAACTACAGATAATGGTGGTGCTGTATAACATGCAATAGGTAACAGCATAAGTTGAACTCAAGGAAAATCCAAAATGTTTCCCATTCCCAGCCGCTGAGCTTCCCTGCAAGAATTTGTTTCTTACCTCTGTTAGATAGATTTACTTCTCTTTTGACCCCGTGACACCATCACATGGATCACAGATCTTAATTTGTTCAGCAGCAGCAGCCGCCAGGAGGAGGTATTTGCAGAGTTCCCTATATCACTTTAGGTACACATAGATGAGCCCCCCAATTCTACAACTCTGATCCAGCAGAGAGCAGCACCAAGTCTGTGCTGGTTAGTTGCATAGACATCTATAGGCTGATAATATATTAGTTCAGGAACTAATATTAAACTCATGATAGCTGAAGCATGGAACAACCCGACTGTTCACCATGTTTAAGGCTAGATTAAAGCCAATCATGGACGAGAGGGGAACGCGACTGATCCACCCAATAGGAGTCCCACTGATGATCTATACCCACACTACGACGTTTGTAGATGGCCCCTGACCCACCCAACAGTCTGCAACAAAAAACGATTGTTGTAAATGTCAATGTCCATCCTAAAGAAATGTCTGCAGAGGCATTCACTGTAAACGGTGTACATAATACCAAGAAATAATTTCTAATGATATTGATTTTTTTCTTTAATATAAACTGGTCATGTACAATCAACATATATTCAGATTGTTCTTGATGTGGACCTGCTTAGTGTCATCTGAAATACCTGTGTGAACAATTGGACCATATGATTGTGCAGAGGCTCCGCAGAGACTTTAGAAGCAGCAATTTGTAAACTTTCTAGTACATCCTTGTAGACCTCCTTTCTCATGCTATGGTAAATTTCCAGAAATTCCGGTTGTTGTTTGGGGGTCCAAAAATGGCGGATTAACAGCTGGCGAGGGAAGAAATACCTGAAGAGAGAAGACAGAAGTAGAGTCTTCTATTTATTATAAGGATTCATGGAAGATAATGGGGACTTTCAATAAAAACTGGAAATACCTCTAAAGATGTTTAGTAGACAAAGTATAAATCTCAGGATATTAGGAAATGTTAATATGTCAAGAAATGTGTACTTGGCCCATCAATGCCCACTTTGTCACTCTTCAGTCCCCCACAACTGTCAGTCTTTCTGCTCACACCCATTGTAGCATTCACAATGAAAGAAGGTAGAGGCTATAGAAAGAGCTTGCAATATATGGTGATCAGAAGGTGAAACAGTGGGCAGTTCTGAGCTACTTAAAAAATCCTTAAATGAAATCCAGTATTTTCATTCTGAATCTCTTTCCCTCAATACTCTAGAAAAATTCAGTACATGCCAAGAGAAAAAGCCAAAAATGTTTTTGTTTCTGCTAGGACTCCCTTCTTACTCCCGATCATTATCACAATACAATGTGTCAGGGCCGGCCTTAGGGGTGTGCGAGCTGTGTGGCCGTACAGGGCGCCATGGCAACAAGGGCGCCGTGGGGCCGACACAGCTCGTCCTGGGGGCAGCTTCTCTCCCCCTCACCGCTGGCCATCCGATAATGCCTCTGGAAGTCATGCTTGTGGCTGTCAGATTCTTGCAATGTCTTATAGGACATCCCCTTTCCGATGAGTAAGCTGAGATCTAAATCAGAAATGTCATAAGCTCAGCTACAAAGTGAAACTAGGATGAGAGGTGAACCCAGGTTAGACTTTTCTGGTTAAAAAACATAACCGCAGCCAACACAAATGTACTTTATCCAGGTTAGGTGTGCATGTTTAACCAGCTGCGGACTGTAGTACTGTATAAAAAAAAAAATTGGCGGGGAGTTGGAGATGTATTTCTGGGTGCTGTTTAAACAATGGTGCTTCAGAAAACACAAATCAGGCAGTCAGTGCACCCATGAATGGCTGTTATCGGAGCTGTCACAATGTACAGAGCCAACAAGAGTGGCTCTGAAACTTGTGATCACTGTGAACCAATTACAGACATCACAAGTGTAAGCACGAATAGTGTTTACAAACATTTAGCCCATTCTCAAAATGTTCTTCATGAATCGTCTAAATGCATGAAAACCCAAGCAGAAGGGATGGATCACCGCAGATTAAAGGTGAAGGGTCTCATAGTGCCGCCGACTCAATTATTGTGGGATCATTTCTTTTTAAAGGTGCGTGTGTGTGTTAAAGTGCCACTTTTTTTTTTTTAAAGGTGGGGGGTTTAAAATGCTATTAACCACTAATGATTGTGACAAAATGTAAGCAAACCCCCGTTTTTGGTATATTACCCCTTTATATAGTAAAAAATAGAAAAGCTAGTTGTGATTAAAAACCACCAAAAGAAAGCTCTATCAGTCCTAAGAAAAATGGCATCAAATTAATTTGAGCACAGTGCAGCATTACCGAGTAATTTGTCAATCAATCTATTACAGCACTGTAAAAAAAATGGCCTGGTAATAAAGGGGTATATACAGGCTAGTACTCAAGTCGTTTGTGGACTCTAGTAATAAGATCTTCCACCAATATTCCTAATTATGCTTCTTGTGCGATGCCTCGCTGCTTCTGCTGCAATGTAAAAGGAAATGCAACAGGATGAATGAAATCCCATAGAACAAACAATGCTGGTAGGCTAATCTTAAAAAGCGGGTGCAGGAGATGATACAGTCCTTGAGCACAACCCAAAACTGACATATACGCCTATCTAATAGCGAGACATCAAGTTATCTTACAGGGCAGCAAATTTCATACACTGCAATACCATGACTTAATAGTAGAAAGGTGTGAACTATACTCACATCAGCACAAAGACAAGGTAATTGGCGAAGGGAGGAATGGAAATGATCACCACTGGTGCAGCTTTGATAATATCTCTTCGGAACTAAGGGAGACAGAGAAAGGCTATTTGGGGGGGGAGGGAAAAAAAACACACATATCCTGAACACAAGAAGACAAACAAGACAGACAAAACCTAAATGAAGTTTTGAATTAACAAAATTCCATTTAAACATTTTCCACTTTCTAGCAGCTATCTTGTAGCACTATATTGAGGAGGACATTTACCGGTCAAGAAGTTTTAAAAAGACAAAACATGAACACTGCATCTTGAAGCAGAACTAAACTCGCTTATCCTTCTTTAGCTGGAGGCGCCGCCATCTTGGCCTCTATTTGGATCTGTAGTTGCTTTGGTGCTGTACATGTGATCAGTGATGACACAAGCCATTTGAGGGCAAGAAAGATTGGTTGGGAGCGGACATAAGCACACTGGCAACTGCGATAGTTATGACCAGATGCAATGCTGGAATGTAGTATACTCTGCACATGTGATAGTAGGCAGTAAACAAATGAGAACACTGCAAAATTAATAACATGTATTAACCACAAACTAGATAATGGGGGGGAGGGTAAAATAAAAACCAAAAAATTAAATATTGAACTACCACTCGCGACAGATAACACAGAAGGAAAAAAATACAGGAATAGATAGTGGGCTCACTCCAGTCAACATAGATAATAGAAATAGCAGGGAAACAGGATAATGTTGTGGTAAGGGGGGACTTTAATTACCCAAGCATCAACTGGGCTAATGGAACTTCCAAAATCGGCAAAGGCTGCCCGTTTTCTTAATATGTTGCGAGACAATTTCATGGATCAGATGGTGGAGGTCCCAACTAGGCAAAATGCCATCCTAGATCTGATCATCAGCAATAATACAGAGTTAATTGAGGATATTGTAATCAGGGAGACACTGGGTAATAGTGATCACAAGGTGATTGCTTTTAATATTGGGTGCAAGAAAGGGAAGGGGGATGGGCGTATGAGAAGCCTAAACTTCAGGAAGGTTAACTTTGATAAACTACTCCAACATAGTGGGTGAAATCGAATGGGAAAACTTATTTGATAAACTAAACTTTGACCAAAAGCGGGACTGTTTCAAGAACAAATTAAAAAAATGCTATAACAAGGTGTATACCGCTGGGTAACAAAAGTAAAAGATCAAAAACAAAGCCAATATGGCTAAATAAAAACGGTAAAACAATACATTAAGGAAAAAAAAGTAGCATTTAGTAAGTATAAAATGGAGGGGACAGTATTGGCATTCCAAAACTACAAACAATGTAACAAAAGATGTAAACTGGTAGTCCGGGCAGCTAAAATTGAATGTGAGAAATGTATCGCCACGTTTAGTAAAAGGAACCCCAATTTTTTTTTATCAGTACATAAACAGTAAAAAAAGGGAAGAAAGGAACAGATGGGCCCAATAAAGGACATAAATGGGACGTTACTCACAAACGACAGGGAGAGGGCCGAGGCGCTAAATACTTTCTTCTCGTCGGTATTCATCAAGGAAAAAGACGGGTTTAACCCCTCCATGACTGAGGCCTTTTTTTCATTTTTTGTACCCATGTTATATTCCACATTTTAGGCCGGAAAATTACTTAAAAAATAACTGATATACAGCATGGATTTAGGAAGGATCGTTCTTGCCAGACCAACCTGCTGACCTTTTACGAAGAAGTAAGTAGTGGCCTGGATGGGGGGAGGCCGGTGGACGTAGTACATCTGGACTTTTCCAAAGCATTTGATACGGTGCCACATAAACGCTTGTTATATAAGCTAAGGGATATGGGCATAGATGAATTAGTGTTCACATGGATAGAAAACTGGCTACAAGAACGTGCACAAAGAGCATCAGTTAATGGCACCTTTTCAGACTGGATGGAGGTCATGAGTGGCGTGCCCCAGGGTTCTGTGCTGGGTCCCATGTTTTTTAACCTATTTATTAATGATATCGGGGGGGAGGGAGTGAGTAGCCATGTCTCAGTGTTTGCAGATGATACGAAAATTGGAAGGATAATAGACACGGATTTAGATGTTATAACATTACAGGAGGACCTGGATAAACTAGGGGGGTGGGCAACTGTATGGCAGATGAAGTTCAATGTCGATAAATGTAAGGTAATGCACCTTGGAGTTAAAAATAGGCAAATGGACTATACACTTATGGGGGGTGCCACTAGGGAAGTCGGAAACGGAGAAGGATTTGGGGGTCATTATAGACCGGAGATTGAAGAACAGCTCGCAGTGCCAGGCTGCTGTAAACAAAGCAAGCAGAGTCTTGTCCCGTATTAAGAAGGGAATGTATTGCAGAGACAAGTCTATAATTTTGCCACTTTACAGATCACTGGTTCGGCCACATCTGGAGTATGCGGTCCAGTTTTGGACTGAGAAAAGATGTCCTTGAGCTGGAAAAAGTCCAGAGGAGGGCAACCAAACTCATTAAGGGGTTCGAGGATCTGAACTATGAAACAAGGTTGTTAAAATTAAATATGTTCTCTTTGGAGGTTAGGAGATTAAGGGGGGACATGATTTTCCTGTATAAACTATTTAAGGGCGACAACAACATTATTAACAAACTGTTTACGGTTAGCTCCGTAACAAAGACCAGAGGGCAGAACCAAAAAAATTTCAACACGCAGGGCGCAAGGGGTTCTTCACAGTTAGAATGGTTAAGGTCTGGAACTCGCTGCCGCAGGAAGTGATTTCAGCTAAGAGTGTGGAATCATTCAAGAAACTCCTGGACGAGTTCCTCGGAGACCATAACATACAGGGGTACAGGTGCGCCTAAGATCAAAATCACACATGGACTAATACACATGCACACACCTGCTCAAACATAAATGCACACACACAATAGGTTGGACTTGATGGACTTATGTCTTTATTCAACCTCAAATACTATGTAACTATATGTAACTATATATGTAACTTAAAGTGGGAGCCTGTGTACAGAGCTGTGGAGTGTGCCCTCCCCCTGTCCCTCCGGCTACTCAGGGACTGGCACGGCAGGTCTCTCCCCATCGACAGGAGGGAGATCAGCAGGCTTCTAGCCGCTAATCTCTCCTCCGATCACTGGACCCGGAAGTGATGTGTATTACATCACTTCCGGTGTCACTGTGCACATTCTCCGGCTCTTCGAGCCAGGAGAAGAAGCTGGGGAAGCAGATCTCTGCTTCCTCAGCTTCTTTGGGGTCCCTAGGTGACATTAGGGGTCTGAAAGAGGACTTGTCACATCCTATTTGCTATTACATAGCATGCTTGCTATCCCCCTTAGTGATAGCAACAAAATTAGTGTAAAAAAAAAAAATAGAGTAACATAAAAAATAGCAAAAAAACATTTCTCAAGTCCCTGTCCCAACATAGAAGCGCAAACATGTGTCTGGTGCGTCTACACACAAAAACAAGAATTGTGCCACACGTTACATATCACCGCGAACGTTGGAGTGAGAGCAATAACTCTCAGGTCATCAATCACTAAACTGATGAGCAGTAAAATATCGCCTATAGGGAATTTTGGGTATTGTAGTTTTTTGCGGTTTTACAGACGGACGCAATTTTAAGGTTTGACATGTTTGGTGTCTATGTACCCGGCGTAACCCCATCTTTTATATTTTACCAAAACATTGGGTATTATATTAGGTTTCTGTGCGCTAAATTTCGTTTGTGTATTTTATCCTAAAAATACTGGTTTGATAAACATTTGTGCTAATACCGTGCGACATAAAAAATTGCAACTAGCATTTTGTTATTCTACAGGGCCTCTGCTTTCAGAAAATATATAATTTTCCAACACTAGGCTACATAATAACTATACCCTGATTGCAAAAAAGGTCAAATTGGTTATTGTTTAAAGCAAGATCTGCCTTTGTCTTAGACTGGGGTTTAACTTTATCATGCGCATGCTTCTTATATGGGAGGGTGTTAACAGCGATATTTCCGTGTTTGCGGATGACACCAAAATTGGGAGGGTAATAGACACGGACTTAGACATTATAACATTACAGGAGAACCTGGATAAAATAGGGGAGTGGGCATTAATGTGGCAGATGAGGTTTAATGTCGATACATGCCAAGTAATGCACTTTGGAATTAAAAATAGACAAACGGGTTATACAATTATGGGTGTCAGAAATGGAGAAGGATTTGGGGGGTCATTGTAGACCAATTATTCAACCTCAAATTTATTAACTATATATGTGGAATCCTTGTTAACTGTTATATAGGGATATTAAAGTCAAAATCTGTGTAAGCCGTTTCCAATGCTGATTAAATCACTTGCAATGGATGCTGCTCCTTCATGTTTATACGTTTTAGCCTCCTGCAGAATCAGCTGCCCCCCTGAGCAGAATGCTATGGAGCCACCTATGTGTGTTAATATGCTGTGTGTGTCTCCACAAACACACAGGCACAGCGAAGATCCATGATCTCTTAACTAGTACGGTAGATGGACAGTTGCCGGAGACTGCTCTGACCCTTGTGATCTTGTACTGGGCAGGAAGTCAAGCTAAGAGAGTTGGAGCCAGCTGTGTGGAAACATGATGACTGTAACTTTGCTGGACAATGTATATTTGTTTGATTTGGATCCATTATTGAAAAACATTTGAGAGTTAAATACTACTTAAAAAAAAAAAAAGCCACATTGTGTTGAGCATATGAACACATACCTGCCTCAGCTTCTCCATTTCCCTGTAGGTCAGCTGGTGAAATTTTAATCCCCGACTTCTCATATTCACCTTGATCTCGCGTACTTCTTTGGCTTCTATCAGCAACATCCGTGAACCTGTAGAGCAGCAAGTAAACAAAGTGAATCTATCTTTGCCATATGGCTGGGGACCAGCAGAACTAGTATGAAGACAAAGGCCAAGCCATACCAACAAATTGGTCAATGTCAATTACTTTAAGTTGAAGACACACTGTAGTAAACCATTAATCACTTCCTCCTGGCAATGTACTCTACAATAATTAGAAACACTTACCTTTCATAAAAGTGGAATACAATATATAAAAATTGGGGAACTTTCTTTCCAAAAACTGCTCATATCTTGCATTTAGATGTCTGGCCTTAGAAGTTATAACAGACAGAACGCTTTGTGGTTTCTGGTTTGTTGACAGATGGCATGGCTGGTACCTGGGAAAATAATGAAATGTAATTATTAGTACCAAACATAGCTATCACACACTATAACATTGTTTGGCAATTTGTACTGATAGTTATGAGTGATCAGAATAGATCCAGTACACTAGATGGTTACAGATAACCCGATAAATCACCCCACTGCTCACATGTGTTTAATGTCCCATTGTTGGTATGGAGAAAGACACAGAATGCAGATTATATGTTTTCCAATGAATACCCTAATCAACACTTAACAGATGCATCCAGTCATAATTTAGTCTGGTATGCATATTTATGTAAATTACCTGTAAAAGCCTCCCATGTGTAGTCATCGGAAAGCCCTGAGACTGCTGCTGGGTGCCGCCATCTTGGACGTGACAGCCTCAGACCTGTCACTCAAGTGACATTCTATACTATTCCCATTCAATCCCACCCTCCCCAGCTACAAAATAAGGTTATGTAGGAAAGTGCTGGAGGGGAGAGCTGGAGTCAAAACACACAACTCATGTAGTACAGAAATGACCAGAAATATTGGGATTGATTTACTGAATGAATAGAGCATGTTCACTTTACAAAGAGAAATTTCACACTGCAAAGTACATTTTCACTTTGTGAAGGAGGTGAAACCAAATGAAAACTCATACACTAAGCTAAGTGAAAAATGCAGTTCCTCACAAAGTAAATTTTCACTTGGCTGGTGTATGAGGTGATGACTTCATTCATCCAATCATATTCAAGGAAAAATACAGGTTTTTTTCCTTACATTAATTGATATTCTTTGCAAAATAGAATTTATTTTAGCTTTACATCATTTACTAAGCTTGGTGAAGATTCATTACTCCTGAACCCTGCACTCTGTGCGTTACGTGCGCCTGACCCGTGCACTATGTGCGGTGCGTGCGCCTGACCCCTGCACTCCGCGCGGTGCGTGCGCCTGACCCCTGCACTCCGCGCGGTGCGTGGGCCTGACCCCTGCACTCCGCGCGGTGCGTGGGCCTGACCCCTGCACTCCGCGCGGTGCGTGCACAAGGATAATGGTGGTGGGTACATTAGTTTTTATATTTCAGGCTTTTTTACCCTTTATTTTTAAGCCTGTGATCCTGCCAGTAACACAATTCCTGTCCTAGGGTGACAACTCTCACTCACTATGCTAGACAAGGAGTGTGTTAAGGCTACATAATAACTTCACCTCCCCTCAACTACATAGCATAAAGGGGAGGTGTTTTGTGGTCTACAGAGAACAGGAATCAATGTAACGGAAAGGAGCACAGCACAGGACATGATCAGCTCACAAAATTTCTAGCACGAGTAAAGGGGGATTATTTGCTCTTACTGAACAGATATTTATTCTGTACTGGTCTGTAAAATGTACAAAAGAAGTTTATTGTTAGGGTTTACATACATTTTAGCAGAAAACAGGGACACCGGCACTCCAATGTAAGCATGAAAAAAAGTCTTATTTATTGAAGAAATATGACATGTCACAAAGATGCTTTGGCCGTATCGACAGGGAATAGAATTGCCTCTGCCTCTTCATTACCATATGTACCTCCCTATAGCTGGGAATAGCCGTGCGTGTCTGTTCATCCATAGATGGGGTATTCCAAGTTGATTGCGAGTTGCGTTATGAATGCGTAAATGAAGAAATAAAGCCTTCTCAGGCTGGATAATCCGCGGGGGTGCTGAGTGGGTAATGTCAAATCAGACTAGATCCATGAACCCATCGCACCCCTGACCGCTTGTCTCCAAGGAATATCAAATGGGTGCTTCGGTGATCGACGGATGGCAACCGTCATATAACAGCAGAAAACAGGGACACCGGCACTCCAATGTAAGCATGAAATAAAGTCTTATGTATTGAAGAAATACGACATGTCACAAAGATTTAGGGCTCATTCACAACGGTGCAATGCTTTAATCGCACAGTTCCATGTAGTGAACGGCCCACACAATGCGCGTGCGGTAACAGTGCAGGAGGTGCGTTGCCATTTATTTGAATGGCACCCCAAATGCACCTCCCACCCGCAATGTAAACAATGGCACTGCAACGTGGTTAAAGGAGAACTATGGGGTTAAGTCTTTTCCCCATAGTTCTCCTTAGGGTAACGGGAGGACACAAACTAGCGCCCTCCCGTCACCCTAGGGTCAGTATACCGCGAGCTGTAGCTCGCGGTATACTGAGACGACGCAGTTAAAGCGGATCCCGACAATTGTGTCGGGATCCGCCCAACTGTGTGACTGACAGCTGGCTCTGCCTATCTAGAGGCAGAGCCAGCTGTACCCGCCCCCTCCCCCGTCCGATCCACCAGTCAGCGCTGGAGGTTCGGAGCAGTTACACTTATACTGTAGTTTCCCCCACTCATCTTATAATAATACACCCCTGATCCAGCTAGATATTGCCAACAAGGCGCACAACCCTACTGATAGGAACAGATGTCACAGATGTGACATCAATATCTGTTAGGTTTTTGCCTTCCATCCTGCGAAGGAGGAAATAACTGATCTGTACGGACTCATGTTAGGCCTATGGACAGCCAGGTATAAGCAGGGACTTGTGTCCGTTGACATCCATTTACCTCTGATGCGTCACATTAAAGGAGAAGTATAAGGTGAGTGATTTCCACTCATCATCATAGTTCGAGTCGACCCGTGACAAAGAAGGTGTCACAGGTTCGGCTCTATCCATCAGGAAGTGAGTGAGCACATACCGTCGCTCGCTCACTTCTCGATCATGTCCCTGCAGAGAGTGATGACTGTCAGTGACTACTCCCCTTAGAGATTCCCCCCCTCCCCGCTCCTCCAGTGCTGGCTGGAGGAACGGAGGGGGCGGGTACAGTTGGCTCTGCCTCTAGATAGGCAGAGCCCGCTGTCACTCACACAGCTGGGTGGATCTCAACAGTATTGTCGGGATCTGTTATGGCTGCAGCGCTCTCAGTATATCTCGGGCAATAGCCTGCTATATACTGAGCTTTGGGTCACGGGAGGAGGTTAGTATATGTCCTCCTGTGACCCTAAAGAGATCTATGGGGAAAACACTTAACCCATAGTTCTATTTTAAGGCCCCTTTCACACAGGCGGTCCAATCAGATCCGTGTATAAACGCATGGATGTCCATTTACACCCGGTTACCCCCGACTCTGGCCGAGTCCAGAAAAACGAATAGATCAGAGATCCGTTTTGCTGGACCGGATCATGCCAGATCGGGGGTAATCTGACACGTGTCCACTTACATCTGATACCCCATGGGATACACATGGGGGTCCCGTAAATTGCAGTTTTTTTCCTTCAATCGCAAGATTGAGGAAAAAACTATATGGACACTGATGCCACAGAGATGACCTGCACTGCATACTGCTGTGATCAGCGTGCACATGTCCTCTCCTGATCAGCCCATGTGAAAGGGGCTTTATAGTTTTTTCCTCCACCTCTGATTACCCCCGATCTGGTCTGGCGAAATGGATCTCTGACCAGTCTGTTTTTCTGGACCCGGCTTCCCATAGATTTGCTTTGGGCATCAGATCGGGTCCGCCTGAATAACTGACAGGAGGATCTGATTGGACCGCCAGTATGAAAGGGGCCGTAATGGGATTCTTCATGTTGAGTGTTGTCACGTGTTGGAAAACACACAACAAACTGCTCAGGTGTGAACGGAGGGCTAATGACATCATAATAATAAAATTCCTCCCACAGACCAGAGTTCTCGAATCCCATTTTGTGCAGTCATAATTCCCTCCGTGTCTACCACAGAAGACTTCATATACCACACTGATCACCCAGCTAGAGGAATGGTTGCTAGGGCAGGTGAAGTCATGATGGCAGACCTGTACAGCTTGCAATGTAATACCAGCCCTATTATCTCCCGCTCCCTCCCCGGATACTCACAGTGTTATACTGACCAGCCGCCGGTCTCCTCCATTCATCAGCCGCCGGCACATCCCCGTCCTGTACAGCGCCATGTTCCGGGAGGAGAGAACACCGCCTCAGTCATCGGCAAGGTCAACATTGCACAGGTCACATGTGTCCGTGACGTCACGTGGTGACAGGGAAGGTGCCATGTTTGTTGAGGGCACACAGCACACAGGAGGATGTAAACGAAGTTGCTGCTGGTCTGTCTTTGATGGGGAACCTCTGCCCGTCCTGCGGGGAGGGAGGTGGCGGGTCAAGGAAACCTCATGATTGTAGTTGTGTGCAGAATTAATATAGGTAGTAAATAGCCGCTTCATCTAGCAGCATCCTTGTGAAATGAAGATGAGTTGTCTGTAACAGCCACAAGATGGCAGCTGTTCCTTATCAGAGAACAATGTTGGCCTAGCTTCAGGGGGTAAGGTGAGTCAAAAAGATGTCTGCCACGTGTGGGCAACTCCTGCCCTCCAGCTGTTGTGGAACTACAAGTCCCATGAGGCAATGCAAGACTGATAGTTACAACCCAGCAGGGCCGGTGCTAGGATTCTAGGCAAGGTGCATTTTTGTGCCCCCCCCCCGACCCCCTGTAAAAACGGCATTTTGACAAGTACTTGTCAAAATGCCCCAATGTTTGCGCTATGGTTTTTTTTTTTCACTTACCTTCGGCGCGGGAGAGCAGCGGCGAGTCAGAGCTGGTCCGGTGGGAGGAGCTCCAGGTGGGGTCCTAATTTAGCTGGCCGACGACTGCCTGAGGTGCCGCGCGTGTCGGGATCCTCTGGCAGTCGTCGGCCAGCTAAATTAGGACCCCACCTGGAGCTCCTCACACTGGACCAGCGCTGACTCGCCACTGCTCTCCCGCACCGAAGGTAAGTGAAAAAAAAAAAACATAGCGCAAACATTGGGGCATTTTGACAAGTACTTGTCAAAATGCCCTGTTTTTTCCGCCCTCAGGCGGCCGCCTGACTTGCCTTGCAGTAGCGCCGGGCCTGCAAACCCAGATAGCAAGGATATCTTGCTACAAACTTGTGGCAGGGTGAAATTGTAATTTTTGTTAACTTGCTGCACGTATTCCTGGCAGGTTGTAGACTTGAAGAACACTTGCAGTTCTAGTTGACACTTTTTGAATTTGTAGCAAATTTGCTTGGCAAATCTACAGCAAGAGTCCTGCAGGTCTTAGCAAGAGCTCTGCAAGCTCGCTGATCTGGAGACTTGCAATGCAGAATTGCTGTAATTGTGCAACAAAATTGTGAAGCTTGGCAAGTCTGCAATAGTTTAGCAAGTCATTTTCAAACTTGCAGCTCAATTGCTTGCTATCTGGGAAGCATGACTCCCAGAGGAAGATGCATGATGGCATTTGTAGTTAAAGCACTGCTGGCATAGCCCACCCCTGGCCTTAGGCCTCATTTAGATGGGTGTATAGCCACAACATGGGGATGCAGCAGAACTCTACGGCTGGATTCACATATAACCGATCGTGCAGCACCAGCCGTTGACTTGCGTCCAGGCGATTTGTATCTGGCAATGCGGTTGCCCATACTGTGCATAGGGGCCGAAATATCTCCGCCGACAGACAAGCTAATTGGCCGTCTGAATGAGCCTTGACAGCCAGATGACAACCTACATAATTATCTTATGACAGGTGCACTTTTGTAGAACGAACATATGCGCAGACCACCTCCACATCGCCTGGCTCTGCTGCTCTGGCCAGTATCTGCATCCATTTTATTTCTTAGGGTTGACTACAGGCACTATGGAGATGAATGGGAGAGCTGCAGCAAAGGTGCCTGAGGGAACATCAGTTGTGAGCACACAGCAGAGAGCCAGGGAGACCCAGAGGCTTTGTATTTGAGTATAATAGCTGGGATGGGGGGTGAGGTAACCTGTGCAGGGTATTATAAATGTATCTACAGCTAAACCCCTTTAGATTGATATGTGATAGCAAAGAGTATGTGACCGGTCCTCTTTATGGAGACATCAGGAGTCTTTAAGACTCCTAATGTCACCTAGGGACCCCCAAAGAAGCTGATGCGGCAGAGATCTGCTTTACCAGCTTCTCTGGAGGTTCTGTAGCCGGAGAGTGACAGCAGAATGCGGAAGTGATGTAACATACATCACTTCCGCAATCTGACACGGAGAGGAGCTCAGACGGAATTCGTGTACTGATCTCCCTCTGATTTCCTTTTAGAAAACTGCAGTGCTGGTCTGGGCCCGTTCGCACCAGATGCAGTGCGTTCCGGCCCAATTCTGGCCAGAACGCACTGCCTTGCGTGTGGCCGGCTCACTTTTTTGTGGGGTAGGAGGTGGCATGGCAGGCTATTGAAGTGAATCGCACCGTAGCCACGCCCTCCGGCCACACTACGATCGGCAACACGGGATCACAAGGCACATTAGACCTAATGTCCGGTCCGATCAAAATGCTGCCAGCACTATTTTGTGCATGTGTTTACCACAACGGAACTGAGCAGCGTGAATGAGGTTTATACTAAGACTTAAATGTCTCTAAGCTCCCACTGTATTTCTGGTGTTGGCACATCATTGGCAATAATCCTTGAAGGTCCTTTCCTTCAATTTTGAGATTCATTCTATACATTTAGATTCTTTTTAAAGATTATTCTAGGGATGTCCCCATACCACTTTTTTAAGACCAAGTACAAGTACGGTCCCTCATGTACTTGCCGATACCGATTACCGATACTTTTTCTTAAAGGGACATGTGACATGTTTTTCTAAAACAACACAGACTGATGATTTTAGGGAAGTTTCTCACCAGGGCTAAATACAGATTTCACCAGAACTGAACACATGTCCCCACAGCAGAACACATGTCCCTAAGGCAGAATATTATTCTGCTTTGGGGACATGTATTCTGGGAATACATGTCCACAAAGCATGATACATGATTCCAAAGCAGAACACATGTCCCTAAGGCAGAATAGTATTCTGCTTTGGGGACATGTATTCTGAGAATACATGTCCACAAAGCATGTTACATGATCCCAAAGCAGAACACATGTCCCGACAGCCCATGCCATCATAATGACGTAATTCCCGCCATGCCTCGCCACTTTGTTCTTTCAGCCTCCCCCCTTGCCGTCTGTTACCAGCAGAGGAGCGGCCGTGGATGACAGCCCTGTCACTCGCACTGTATCCTAGCAACGAGGAGACGACGGGGGCGGATCTGCGGCCTCAGGCGCATGCGCAGTTCATTGCTGTGTCCCGACGGGGAACAGACACTGCTCTCCACGCTACATTGGTGATCATGGCAACCGGGGACACTGCGGCATCGACAACAGGTAGATCCAATGACAGGGATCCTTACACACATGTAGCCTTTGAAAAAAGAAAAAAGAGTTCTTGTTTACCCTTTTTTTTTTTTTTTCTTTTTTTGCACTTAATGCTAATAGAATTCTTCTGTGTTGATGTGGCTGTGTCTATCTTTTTGAATTTTGGCGGGAATTACGTCATTATGATGTCATGGGCTGTTTGCACCTAGATTGATGTGTATTTATACCTGCATGTTCACCTATGCATTGTGTCACTGTCGCTCTGATGAAGGATCCCTGTGCGGACCCGAAACGTTAGCACCGTATGACAGTATGTGACATTGGGTATTGAGTAAACATATCAATACTTTAAAAACCCTTCAAGTGTGTACCGGTGAATTACTTTTATTTACTATTACTAATAGTGACGAGGCTCGGCTTGCTCCAAACTAAGTTTGCCTGAGTTTGCCCTAGCCCATTCAAAACTCTGACCGCCACTCCCCCCCTCCTGTCCTAATCAGCCTGTCGCAGGTCAAGGAACGCCCCTGCCACAAACTCCTTTTTTTTTGCAAGTACTGTGGTGTTGCTCCCACTTTATAGGCATCCACAATGCTCGTCCATTTTTTTTCACAAGCCGCATTAATAATATTATGCACAAAGCTTTTATATATTACATGATTCCTAGACAAAAATATGAGCTCATGAGTATAAATGTTGTGCAAAGAGCTTGCATGCAAAATTTAATGAAATGAATAATAACAGAACGTCTGTAAGATATTTATTGTACAGTAAGCACTTCCATGTACAACACTTTTACATAACGACTAGGAAAAAAGGTGCCTGTTTCAGGTAAGCATCAGGTTGGTGGGTTATTATAAATGTGATAAATGTAAGAAAGAAACCAAAACCATATTTACAAAAAGTTGCCAAGCAGAGGCGAGCAGATATAAGGGAGTATTAATTACTTTCCAGACAGTATACAACTTTAAAGAAGACATAAAGCTAAGGAATAAAACCGGGTCCCCCAGGAGCTTTTAGCCATAATCTGCTACTGTGCATAGCATATTAGAACATTATGGCAGACCTACCTACCAAACCAATCTCCTCTAGCACTGCACCCTTCCCTTTTTTTTTACCTTTACTTCCACTTTAAGAGAAGACTGAATGGAGGTTGATGGTTCGGATGTTAGCTGGGAATAGAGCTAAAGCAGTGAAGTTATGGGTGTTGTAAATATGAGTTGTAATGTGGTGAATGGAATTTGTTGGGTAGAGGTGAGTGTTTATTGGAGGGGTTAACAGGTGTTTTGAAGAGGAATGGGTTAATGATAGTTATATGGAAATGAGATGTGAATGGACAGTCCCCTCTGTCACTGCTATTCCTAACAGTGACAGGCTGAGCTCCAGCCGCACCATTTTTCTGTAATGCAAACAGTGATCCAGAGAGGGAAGAGAGCAGCATACCAGCTCTCAGCCAGTTGGCTCTCTCTGCACCTCTGCCAGATCTATCTGAAGTCTGCCTTTTCCCAGGAACGTGTTTGCCATCAGGGAGTGGCAGGGGGGAAGCTGTTGGGTTTGGGGGGGGGGTTCATTGGAATCTGCTTGGTGGGACTGTTTTTGTCTGCCGGTGAGTGGGTACGTTGGGGTGAAGGTGGTGGGGAGGGCTGTATGTCGGCGAAGATGAGTGAAATCCAGAAGTACTAGCACCCTGTTGCATTTCTCTTTGTTTCCCATTTCAGGATTCTTTTTAGTAACTATAGGAAAAAAGGTATACTTTAAAAACACGGTTTGTATCTGATTTTAATTTATAACCACACAGTA